GATTTAAAATATGTTATCTAAAATTTTTCATATTTGATATAAAATTTAAAATGTACTATTATGAATGATTTAAAATTTATTTGACTAAAATATGTTGAAATTATACATGTGTTGAAAGTATGATTTCTAATTTTTATTGAATTTAGAAGGTTATTTCTTTGTGTTAAAGCTTATGTCCCAATCTTATCTTTTAATGTGTTATTATTATTTTTTATTTATATAATTGTTAGTGAATATATGTTTTGGTATGAAATTTGATTGAAATTGCTCACAAGCCAGGCCCAACCCATAGGCAGATCAAGCCCAGCCCGTAGGCCAGGCCCAACCCATGGGTTGGGCCTTGGCTCGTAGGATAACCTAACCCAACTATCATGGGTGGTTACATGCGAGCATATGACCAGTCCATGAGCCAGGGTTGGGCCAGCCTGGTGTGATGCATGCCTAGTCATGTATAGTGCACGTGACCAGTATATGGGCTGGCCCAGCCTAGCCCAATATTATTGTTGGATTTGAGCCCGAATATTGATTAAACTAAACTAGGCTTGATTAGTCTAGATCGATTTAGGGTGATTCCGAATTGATTGATATATTCAAGTCAGTTTAACCTAAATTGAACATAATTTAGTTCAAATTATACTAGTCTAGGGTAGTTCTAGACTAGTTAAATGAAGATTAGAGACCGGTTCAATTGGACTCAATTTAACTAGTCTAGGGTAGTTCTAGACTAATTAAATTGAGTTCAATTGGATCGAGTGAACTAGGATTCAAGTCAATTGAGGACTAATTTATATTATTTGATATTGATGATATTTAAAAGATATATTTTAAATATATTATTTCATCCCGATATAAGCATGACCAGTGTGAGATTATGTAATTTCAATGCCAAGGACAAATAGAGCGATTCCTTTTGGGGATTAGTGGATCATTAGATGTGACGACTGAACGGTTCATTTATTTGTTATTGGGAGGAACATATCCCTATTTGGGTGGGTGAGGGAGACCACTCCATCCGTTGCTGGGAGTGCGATATGAGTTTGCCTCCATCCGCTGTTGGGAGAATACAAACTCATCCCGTAAGATAAAGCCTCTCCATCCACTGTTGGGGGAGTGCTCCTTCGAGTATTTGATATACGCCAATGGGATGATTGATTTTTGATTATGTATTCATTTTGAGTTGACTTTTAGGGTTCCTACTCAACGTTGCTAAATTTTCTTTATTTTTAATTTTCATAGTAACATTCCTCTAGTACTAAATCAGATTCCAGTAGAGAGCGGACATTCCTCTACCGCTAGGTAGAGCCACTTAGATGATTCTTGGAGTTAACATTACTATGTTTACTTTTCTACTTATGATTTGATGAATAAATGAACTATAATAAATATTTATAAATGATGAATAAAGTGATATTTATCTACTTGGCTTGAACGTGTGGAAAGATATGATAAAAAAAAAAAAAAGGTGACATAGACATTCGAGTAAGTATTTCTAATCAACTTCTTCTTGTCTTCAAATATAAAAACTATCAATTATGGGTTGCTAATATGATAACTTTATTTATTTCACATGGGTTATGAAATTTGATAGAAAATAGTTTTGTTGAGTATGATCTATAAGATCCTAATATTACTTAATAGAAAAACTTTCTATTCAAAAGAACTTTAATGAAGGTAATAAAGAAATTTATTAATATTTTTATTATAAAAAATAGATATATTAAAAAGATTATTAGTACAAAGATAAAAATCCAAATGTTTCTCTCTACTCTTACCATAAAAAATTTGACCATCTTAAAAAAGATTGTTGGAACAAAAATTAAGCAAATTATCATAAAAATAATAAAAAAATATTTTTATGGTATTTGATATATAAAATTTTAAATTTATTTGGTTTTTAGATAGTGGATAAAATAATCATATGATAGAGGACAAAAGTTTATTTCAAAGTTTAATGATTTATCAACTCTTAACACTAAATTTGGTAAAATATTTATTAATGATATGATATTTATTTTTAGTTTAAAATAAAATCTCATTAATATAGGACAACTTATGATAAAATAATATTATGCTATTTTTTATGGTGAAAAATATTTGATTTATTATAGAAAATTAAAAAATTGACAGCGATTATGATTATGACAAAAAACAAAATATTTCCCTTATTATGTCTGGACTTCTCTTTACATATATTCATTGCTACTATTATTAATGAATCTATATTATAACATAAAAGATATGATCATTTGAATTATGGTGGACTAGAATTGTTAAATAAAAAAAATGGTACTTAGTTTGCTTAAGATAAAAATAAATATACTTTTATGAATATTATTTTTTAAAAAATAACATAATTTTTTTTAATAGGTATGCAGATATTAATGGGCCTAGGGCCTATGCAGTCTATCTTGTATGATGAAAGTAAATATTTTTTTGTTATGTATAGATAATTGTACAAGGATGATATTATTTATGTGTATATTTTCGGAAAGAAAAAGCTTTAGCTTTCTTTGTTTTCAAAATTTTCAAAGCATATGTAGAAAAATAAAATGATTGTTTTATTAGGACTTTATTGATAGAGAAGATGAATTCACTTCTAAATTTTATGAGAATGTAGACATTCATAAATAACTGATTGCAAGCTACACCCTTGACAAAATGAAGTAATAGAATGGAAGAACCGAAAAGTGGTTGAGATTGCTAGATGTATACTAAATAAAAAATAGTATCAAAAAAGTTTTGGGTAGAAGCTATGAGTGCAAACATTATATTTGCTAAATGATTTTCCTACTAAGGCAGTACAATAAAAATAACCTATGAAGCATGGGTAAATAGAAAGTTAGATGTACATCATTTAAAGGTATTTGATTATGTTACTTGCTTTCATGTTCTTAAAGAAAAAAGGAAACAAACTTGATGACAAAAGTGTTAAATGCATATTTATGAGTATAGTAATGAGATAATGTTTTAGACTTCATAATTTTATAATTAAAAAATTAATTATAAGTCATGATGTTATTTTTAATAAAGAAGAATCTTGAAACTCTAAAGTAGTTAAAATTCTAATAGCACTTGATACATTGTCTATTGTTAATACCTCCCCCGAATCTTCTCATATTTTGAGTGATTCTAATGATACTAAAACACCTCCAAGGAAATTTTATAGTCTTTCACAGACGTATCAGTATCGTGATTTTACATATTTTACTTTGGAACCTACTTATTTTGAAGTTGCATCTCAAAAAGAAAAATGGGTGCAAGTAATAAATGATGAATTGCTAGTTTTGGAAAAATTAAGACTTAGAAATTGGTATATTTACCCTCAAGAAAAAAAAAAAAGACTCAAATGAGTGTACAAGTCAAAATTTAATATTGATGGCTTACTGTAAAATTATAAAACCCATTTAGTTGCTAAAGAGTATGCTCAAATTCTAGGTCTCTATTTTTTAGAAACTTTTCTCCAATTGCTAGAATTGATACAATTAGAATAGTATTAGCATTGACAGCCCGAAAACAAAAATAAATTTATCAATTTGATGTTAAATCAGTCTTCTTGAATAGAAAGTTGTAAGAGGAGATTTATGCAAAGCAATATGAAGGATTTAAAACTAAAGGACTAGAAGATAAAGTGTACAAATAAAAAAAAAATATTATATGACTTGAAATAAGTATCGAGAGCAAAATATAATAGAATTGATAAGTACTTTCTTCAACATAATTTTCAAAAGATTTTAAGTGAGCCAACTTTATATATAAAAGCCTAAGGTATGAAAATTCTTATTGTCTATTTGTATGTGGATAATATAATTTATACTGAAAATTCATCAAATATATTTGCTAGATTTAAGAAAAATATGATGTTAGAATTTGAAATAACTTATATGGGACTTTTACAATAATTTTTTGGGAATGAAAAATTTTCAAGATGTAAATAATTTTTTGTGTCAAAAAAATTTGCTAAAGATTTATTAAAAAAAATTTATATGGCAACTTGTAAGCTAGTGAATACTTTGAATACAAATGATAAACTTGTATTAGATGATGGAGTTAAAAAAATAGACGAGCAAAAGTATTGAAGTTTAAATAGAGGGCTAATTTATCTCACACATTCAATGTCAGATATTATGTTTATAGGTAGTTTGCTATCCAAATTCATGCATAGCCCTAGCAACATCACTTTAGAGCAGCTAAAAGAGTTCTTAGATATATCAAGGGAACTCTTGATTATAACATTTGTTATGAGTAGGTAAACTATTTTAAATTGTATTCTTATATTGATAGTAATTGGGGTGGTTATATAGATGATATAAAAAGTACCTTAGGATTTATGCTCAGCTTTAGCTCAAGTGTGATTTCATGTACAACAAAAGAGCAAGAATGTGTTGTTCTCTTAAGCCTTGAGGCGAATTATGTTGCAGCTATAAGTATAATATATTAAACAATTTAGTTTCAAAGAATTCTAATAGATCTCCAAGAAGAACAAGGTGGACTAACTAAAATCTATTATTGTAATGATGAAGAATCTTGTCTTAGAGTGCACTAAACACATCAAAATTCTATATCATTTCATTCATGAATGAACTGATTGATAAAGGAAAAATTCAAATAGACTATTATAGCACCATACATTAGCTTGCCAACATTTTTATAAAAGCTTTGGCTAAAAATAAAATTATTTTTTTCGAAGACAAGTTTAAGTTATAGCTATTTTGAATTAAAGGGGTGTGATAAGATTAATTTAAAAAGTTAGGATTAGATAAAATAAAAGAGAAGAATTTAGATTAAGATAACTAGATAAGAGTGAAAAATATTATTGGAATATATATTTTTATTATTTAAAAAAAACTTGTATTCTATCTTTTGACTAATACAAATAGATACTTTTATATACATCTAAATTATTATAAATTTAAAATACTCTTCATTTCTTCTATTATCTTCTTTCCATTCTTAACTTGTAAAGAAAGCCAACGAAAATTTTGTTAGAGAATACTTGAGCCTATCAGCCAGATTAAGCTTAAACATATATGCCGTGCAAGATGGAGTTGTTCACGGAGAACATAAAGGCCAAGATTGAAGTACTGTGGAAAGTGGATTGACCAATGCAGAAAAAAGAGGCCCACTCACTGCTAGGCACCATGACCGCAAATCAAAGGTGACTCCAGATCCGAATACTCCCGGCATTTATTAGTCGGCTAGCATTTCCCTTCAGATGCGATTGAGTCTCTATCATCACAAAAGATGGTGATTCTTGTCTGGGATTTCAATTCTCCATCTGGTTGTCCTGAGTCCCTAAGCTTTCACCTAACAGTGGTTTCTGCAGATCATACACACTGTCACGCAGTCCTGGATCTACTACTACTGTCATCCTCTCAGAAACACATGGCAGTTGTGAGTTGCTGCAGCTGCTCTTGGGGTCGATGTCCTTGGCTTTACCCCACAAAACAATGTATAGCCCTCCCACAACAGCAACAGCAGCCACCAAACTGCGGCAAAAAAGTAATCATCATGTTATAAGGATGTAAGGAAATCATGCACTCATCATGAAACTGAAACATGTGTGTGTACCTTCCAATATGGAGCTGTTCATGAAGCACCAAACAAGCTGAGATTGTAGTGATGACAGTACCGAGGGGGTTGAACATTGCAGAATAGAGCGGCCCCTTCAGTGATATGGTCCAAGATTGTAGGTAAAAGGTGACCCCAGATCCAAAAACTCCCTACAAATTTTTGGCCCTTAATGTCATGACGTTTAGGAGACAAAAAACACTTTCTTTTCATAAATTATAAGGGAATAGAAAAGAGGAAGATTACCGCAAACAAACACGATGATAGCTCCAGTGTTGAGTGAATCTTCCATACACTTATGTCGGGTTCTAAAAAGAATGTCAGAGCAGCAGATAGGAAGGTGGAGAACACACACATCCATATTGATAATGATAAGGGATCCAGATAAGTTCTGCAAATTGGCACCTACAACTACAAGTTAGAGAAAAGAAATCTATAGTGCTAGAATGCAAATTTGTCTCTCACTCTCCCTCTAGATCACACACACACATACATACACGCACGCACGCATCTTTAACATTCTCCTTGGACACTCAGCTCAGGTATGACTTTTCTGTGCCACAGTTTCATGCATGACTCATGAATATATGAGGCAATGCAAACAAATAACATAAAAGAAAAAGAAAAGTTCGATTACAGGTTGCAATTAATTGTGTGCAGCAGCAGTATAGTGCAGAGAAGTTCATTACCTGCAAAACAAGCCACAGGGACCAGCAGCAGCTGCTTCCCATCAGGAGAAGTGATCCTACGATCCAGTTTTTGCTTGCTGAGTGAAACAGCGTGGCTAATTTATGGAACTCCATCTCCATATTTAAAAGCCTGGGACCTTTGAAAAACGCCATTGAAACGGCTCCTCCAACACATGTGACTGTCCCAAACACTTTAGCCATGCTCCTCATGCTCCTGACTTCAACTTTTTCTAAGCTGCCAATGACATGGTTTTGATGACAGTCTGACTCATCGTAAAAGGTATTAGATACGTGATGGAGAATAAAGCTGAAAATTCCTGCTTCATGACTAACATTATTAAAGGTTAAATATTTAAAGGAATCTGAAAAAGCCACTTTTTCCTTGTAAAAAGATGGTCACCAAAAGACTTGGAACAACTGGCAAATGTGCATCATGTGAGGAAGAGAACTTTACCCAACAGAGGCTGCAATGACAAATGTGATTGCTGGGGTTAGGTTGCTCATGGCCATCGCCATGGACGACGATGACAAGCTCAGCCCTGTGTAGTAGAAGTACTGGTTGATGGTGGCACTGTTTCATGTATCATCCTCAGGTAGTGAGAACTGGAATGATGAAGAGGCTAACAAGTAAACATCACTTACCCAACAAGCGAAGAAACAAAGACCAAGAAGAAGGCTGTCAATCCCAAGCCAATCAGATTTTTCTTCCCCCTGACATATCAACGCATGAACCAACATTCAGAGACAGAGGGATACATAGAGAGAGAGAGAGAGAGAGAGAAGACGACCTTCTTGCAGTAATGTTTAGGGGAGCCAAGACAAGAGCAGCGGTGGCCTGCCTGTAAACAGAAAAGACCATGGGGCTCATGCCTCGGGCGAACGCTGCCTTGGCTGAGAGTGCCATGGCAGCGTAGATGCACTGCGACACCACCATGGCCAACCCGGGCTTGCACTCCGCAAGCAAGGAGTCGCCCATGTCGCTCTCTCTACTTCTTTGAGAAAGCAGGAAGAGGTGCAGGTACGACAACAACCACCACAAGAATGTAAGATTTCCAGGTATTTATTGAAGAGATTTTACTGCAACTTTAATTATTTGGTTCAAAGCAACGCAGTTGTAAAGACAACTATGAAGTTAGGACCTCAAATTTCCCCGCATTTTATCGGTTGTCGTTTTTGAGACTTACATTCACGGCCACATCAGCTTCTTAGTTGTCGACCTAAAGACAAATAGGACAAGTGGGCTGGTTGAAAGTTGATAAGGTGTATTTTGGGCCCAAGACATGTCATCGCCAACACCACACGTCAAGACAGAATCTATACCAAAACGTTGTTGATGCCACACGCCAAGTCAGAATCCGTACTAAAACGCTGCTCAATATGTCCCATCCCGAGAGCTCGAGGCGGTGCCATCTATCAACATGCCACACGCCTCGAGACGGTGGCCCGTCAGAAGCACCAGCCCATTCTTCGAGGGTTAGCGGCCACGCCGAATCTGCATGCAACCGACCCTCGTACAATAGTATAAAAGTCCCTGACCGGCATCTGGCTAGAAGAGAGAGAAAAAAACCATTCGACTCCACTACTGACTTGCTCGTCGGGAATTACTCGACGAAGGCCATTTTTCCAAAAAAGCGATCACCCACGTCCCGCGAGCATCCCAACCCTGGAAGTCACCGATCGATGTCCCTACGGCGAGCCATCAATCGGCACTCGGACCGAGAGACACTAATCAAGACCCCGTCACGAGGGACCGGTCGACCTCAGCACCCAGCTCAGCCGATAGAAGACTCCCGATATCAACCCGTGGTCCAGGCCATGCTGACTCATCAGTCACGACACATTTGTTCACCAACATTTTGGCGCTAGAAGGAGGGCCATGTCGCAGGAGCTCTCCCCGAGGGAGAAACACCGATCGGCCTCCCCCCGTCAAGCCCGAGAACCAGTCCCTCCCCACCCTCGGAGATGGAGGGATCCTGGCCTCGACCCCAGATCGCTATTGGCGCCTGTTCAACGACTCAGGGTTGTCGCCCCCAGGACTTACCGCAGGATCCTCGGCCGTGACGCCCGAGGCGTTCCTCAGCTTGACCAAGTAAGTGCAAGCCATGGCGGGCTTGATACAGACGCTCGTTCCGCTCATTCCTTAGATCGTGCGGCTAGCAGCTCCCCCGACTGACCCGACTCGGTAGAAGCCGAGCGGTGAGCAGGTCGGGACGGGAGAAGCCCAAGAGCAAATGATGGACCTAAGAGGTCTGCCTGAGCAAAACATACCCGCACCCTACCGAATCACACCACCCCACTTCGAGCCTGACACCATATTGTCCGACTCGGCGGACGACTCGCTCAGGGCCCAACTATCCTGAGTCAACTAATGCTTGGATGAGTTCCAGCGCGAGTTCCGAAAATCGTGGAGCTAGTCCAGTGAAGGCGGCTCAGGCAGGTCGCCTTTTACTCAGGAAGTACAGAACAAGCCGGTACCCCTCAACTTCAGGCTGCCAGCATTAGAGACATATGACGACGACTCCGATCCCACGGAGCATGTCTCTGCATTTCGGGCTCAGATGGCCCTCTATGGCACCTCTGATGCATTAATGTGCCGGGCATTTCCGACCACCCTTAGGGGACTGGTAGGAGCATGGTTCGGCCGGCTGCGCCAGCCCTCAGTCTTGTCCTTCGACCAGCATGCTAGGGAATTCGAGCAGAACTTCCTCGCTAGCGTGCGACCTAGGCCGTCCATGGCCAAGTCGATACTACATTGTTTATCAAGAATTTTAAAAATAATTTTCTCATTGTTCAGATTTATATTGATGATATTATCTTCGATTCTACGAATGAATCTCTTTGTGAATCTTTTGTTGAAACTATGAATCTCAAATTTGAAATGAGTTTGATGGGAGAATTAACCTTCTTCTTAGGCTTACAAATTAAGCAACTAAGCAATGACATCTTTATTAGTCCAACTAAATATGCTTTAGATTTGCTAAAAAGATTTAATATGGATATCTCAAACACTCCTATGAGCACCTCCACTAAGTTAGAAGTTGATGAAAGTGGAGAAAGCTTCGATCAAAGAACTTATAGGGGTCTGATAGGAAGTTTACTTTACCTCACTGCAACTAGACCAGATATCATATTCAGTATAGGACTTTGTGCTAGGTTTCAATCGAACCCTAAGATATCTCATCTCAAAGTAGTTAAAAGAATACTTAGATATCTTAAAGGTACTAGAAATCTAGGATTATGGTATCCAAAAATCAAGAATTTTGAGTTAATTACTTATGCTGATGTGAATTTTGCTGGGTGTAGACTAGATAGAAAAAGCACATCAGGAACATATCAATTTTTGGGACATGCCCTTGTCTCCTGGTCATCTAAGAAACAAAACTCGGTTGCACTATCAACAATTGAAGCTGAGTATATTGCAGCTAGTGCATGCTGTGCACAAGTTGTATGGATGAAAAACACCTTAGAAGATTATAAAGTTCATCTTAAAAATATTCCCATTAAATGTGATAACACAAGTGCAATATGTTTAACAAAGAATCCCATTCAACACTCAAGAACAAAATATATTGATATAAGACATCACTTTATATGAGATCATGTCACTAATCATGATGTAATTATAGAGTTCATTGATACTAAATATCAACTAGCTGATATTTTTATAAAGCCTCTAAGTGAAGAACAATTTGATTTCATTAAAAGAGAATTAGGAATGTTAATGTGTCCGAATGCATGAACTCATTTTTCTGACTTTCTTGATCAATCACTTAACGAGGAGAATTTTACACTATTATATGCCTTAATAACATGTTGGAAATTATGTGTTTTGGATAAAAAATTGCCATGATCATGAGCATGTTTTATCTTCATGATTGTGTTTGAAAATCTATAGCAAAACCATGTTCGAATGCATGAAAGTGTTAAATTTCATTTTCAGATTTTCTTGATCCTAATATGATTTAGTATTTCTCTTCCGGACTTAATGTAGCTTTCATAAGCATATGTCATATCGAGTTTGTTTCGTATCATTGACATATAGAATCAATTAACAAATGCATCTCTCATAAACTTATCGTGTGAAAAATATTTTTTCGAGAAATGGATTTGATGAAATGATTCCTTCTTATGAATTCCTTCTTAGTGAAGTCGGTGGACTTCAAGAGCTACAAGGCGATGGACTATCCTAGAGTGGTGCTTCGTCTATGTGTGACCCAAGAGTGGGTGGACGAAGGTCGATTGTCAAAGGAGCGAAGACAATCGAAAAGTGGAAGAGGCCTTGCGATATGTTGGCAGAGGCCACACATGGAGGGATCACAATCCGAGTTCATCCCACAAGGATCAGAATGAAATAGAGATGTCACCAGGAGGTGACATGGTGCAGCGGATCGTGGTGGAATAGTTCGTGGCAATGTAATACACACGAATATGGTCCCGTGAGGGACTATATCATTCGGAGGTATGATCGGGAGCTACTAGGAGCTCCACTTCCGTGAACAACACTATGGTAAGAAGGGCTATGGATTCAAGGAGTGAAAGCCATAATATCGTAGAGGCAGACTTCTGTGCATACATCGAATTTTGCATTGGATAAAAGCCTTGGTCATCAACATATGGGGGCTATGTACCACCGAGGGAAAAATTCGAATGCAATTACCAATGAGTCCCATGGGAGGGACTTGATCATGTAGAGGTATGATCAGAGCAGTTGGAGAGTTGGACTACTCCAGAGCCCATATCGCTTAAAGGAGCCCGACAAGTCAGAGGACAAGGCCAAGTAAGCGAACATTGCTACCAAGGAAGCTAAGGAGAACAGAATCGGTGTAAACTCTACAACATGATGGTAGAGACCATGCATGGGAGTTGTAGTCTGTCTTTCCATCAACCAAGGAGAACTACTTGGAAAACACAGAGGTGTTGAAACAAAGGGTTGAAAGGGACAAGGAAGCGATGACGAGTCCAAAGGGGCTTAGCTACCCAAAAACCAAGCATTGGTTAGAATGGAGGTAGACTCAGAGGAGTGCCATAGTGCCACAAAGGCAGATCTACCGATCATGAAGAAAGGGATGCAGATGCGAGGTGACGGATAGTAGGGCCATGGGCATGGTAGTGCCATGGTATTGTAGAGGCGGGATTTCCGTGGAGTCATCGATCCCTTGCTCTCATGGGGGGGGAGAGTGCTTGGTCGTGAAAGAGGCCGAGGAGGTGGAGAATGCAGAGGCAAACTATAAGTACTGAGACAAGGCTGAAGGGTAGAGGCCAGGGAACTTCGTAAGACCGGTGTCAATGAGCTTCTCATCAAGATAGCCGAAAGTGAAGGACTTAGGGTTATGCAAGAGTACACGACTAAGAAACGAAGTAGGCAGTACACGATATAGTACTTTTTCTACTCAGTGGAGTAGTTGTACTTTTTCTACTCAGTGGAGTAGGCAGTAGGGTTGATGGAGAAGACGGTACAATCCTAGAGGTGACCAAAACTATTAGAGATTTACTCCAAGTTAGGGTGAAAACTTCTTGCATTATAGAAGTTTGATGGTATTGAAAAGATAAATCATAGTAGCTAACTCAATGCAAGGAGTGCAAACACTTCAAGTGCTTCAGAAGTGTGAGTAAAGAGTAGGCAAAGGCCAGTAACGAGCTCGATACATAGAGCACAACCCTTGAGGAGACGGGCGAAGTTAAGTAACCTTTGTCTTCTCAACACTTAAGAGAATGGGCAAAACCGAGTACCCCAATTTTCTTATCTATCCAGCAAAGGAGCTCGTAACATATTCAAAGACCCTTCGAAGAAACCAAATGGAAGACAATAGTTGTCAAATCCTCACTAATGGTGATCAGTGCTATTAAGAGTAGATTATCCGCTTCATTTCCCAATAGAATGCCTATCGAAAATGGAAGTGATGCGAATCTACTTAGAAGTGACAACTAAATAAAAAAAGAGTCGATCAGTAAATTTTATGGAGGAATGACCCAAAACTTCAAAAGTTTACGAGGCGATACTCGTTAAAGCTCCAATAAGC